CAAAAACACATAAATAAACTCAAGTACAGTGAAAGACAAATAAAATAAGGTGTATATTCAATCTAAACTAAAGCATCAAACATTTACCTTTACTCTGTGTTCTTGGAAGACTTTCCCCAGTGTTTTATCAGTAAAGGTTTTAATGGTGATTACAGGAACAGCGCTGCTGTTTTGGACGTGAGAGAAGTGTTTTCATTTACTTAACCTGAGCACACCATCTCAGTAACAGCTCCGCCTCTTTGCTCTTCACGGTGTGTAAACACACTCCAGCTCCACTTTGCCACTGTTGCCTTTATCAGTGTTTTTGTTTAAAACTGGGCGCTGCACGTGTTTAATGTTGTCAGAGTTTTTGTTCATACACTGCTCCTAAATGCATTTCTATTGCAAGTCTGTTTTAAGTCACAAATGACTTGCCATAGTATAGAAGAGAACCCCATAGTATAGAATGGTGTGCCATAGAGTGGAACGCTGTAATCATAGAATAGAATCACAGAACGCCACGTCATGGTATAGAATGGAACATCATTGGAATTGAGTGTTCCATTAGAGTGTATAATGGCATAATACTATAATTAATTGAAAATGTTAAAAAAAAAACCTTGCAGTTTGATCCTTAATTTTTTTTTTTTTTACCTTTTTTTATTTCTGTCTATTGTAATTTTTCTGGAACACTCATTTAACATTTCTTTCCTCGACCTTCACACAGGTATCCTGATTCCTCTCTGTGAATCTGGGACATGCACTCTCAGGGAAGCCATCATCATCGGGAGTATCCTCACGAAGTGCTCAATTCCCGTGCTGCACTCCAGGTGAGGCTTCCTCACTGACATACGCTGGCAGACAGATGTCAGCATTTGCTCATGTGAAGTATTAACCAGCTGTCCTTGAAGGCCTCATTCCGTGCAGTGCAGGCAAGTTAACACTGAGTTCAGGGTTATCTAACAAGCAGTCTTTCTTGTCTTTCAGCGCTGCAATGCTTAAGTTGGCAGAGATGGAGTATAATGGTGCCAACAGCATTTTCCTGCGCCTCCTGCTCGACAAGAAGTACGCCCTGCCTTTCCGTGTTCTGGATGCCTTGGTGGCCCACTTCCTGTCTTTCCGCAGTGAAAAGCGCGAGCTTCCTGTGCTGTGGCATCAGAGTTTACTCACCTTGGCTCAGCGCTACAAGGCTGACCTGGGGTCTGAACAGAAGGAAGCACTGCTGGAGCTGCTGAAGATACAAACACACCCACAGATCTCTGCAGAGATCCGCAGGGAGCTGCAGAACTCCGGATCGAGGGACATTGAAATCGGGCTCCCTGTTACAGTGGAAATGGACTGATTTGGTTCGGTTTTCTTCCTTAGTAATGTTTCCTCAGCGTGAAAAAAAAAATCTTGGATTTTCAATATTCTTCTTGTCATGGGATAAAAGAGTTTGGAAAGATCAGTGTCTTGGAGTTTGCACATTTGGAAATGCACATCACTAGTGATACTGCTAATGTAATTTCGTATCGTTACGCTCAAGCTTTTTCTCTACAGATGCAGAGGAGTGGTCACGTGGCTTTTCTGTTCATCTAAATAAGAACAGCTCTGTTGTTATGAAGCAAAACATTGATTAAAAACGAACGGAATCTTTAAACATTTGCCATCAATGTCCATTTATTGCTTTTGCCTGTTAGAGTTCTGTAGGAGTTGTAACATGTTGAGTATGTCAGATTACCAAGTAGAGAGCGGCCTCTGGTTTTAGACATTTTTACAAATAACTTCACAGATTTATACCACCAAACTAAGTTAATATGAGTCCGGCATTACTAGTGTATAATCGTGTCCGTCTTGTGAAGGAGTTTAACAACCATTAGGTAATTCAGTTTATTGACCACAAATGGAACATAGTTACACCAAAAAAGTTTTTCCAGGGCCTTTTTGTACACTGCTCAAAACCTTAAAGGAACACTTTGAAAGCATCAGATCTCACTGGGGATAAAATCATGCTGATCTCTTTTGATATGAACTAACTAAAGTGTTAGGAATGAAAGGCTGTCACACATCATGTGATGGAAATGAAAATGATTGACCTACAGGGGGTTGAGTTCACCGGCGCAGTCTCAAAACGGGTCCAAGATTTTTATCCTGCCACCTAATGGCAGTGAGCAGACACCGGTTCTGCAGATGGTTTAAGGACCACCTTTGGCCCTGTCAAGCTCTCTTAGAATAACTTCCTGCCTCCTGGAAGGAAGTTCCAAAAGACAAAAAAGGACCCCGGTTGTCTCATTGTTGCACCTGTTAATTCCCTGAAACACAAAGCAGCTGAAACTGATTAACAACGCCCTCTGCAACTTAACTAACCAGATCAATATCTCAGAGATTTACCTAACTCGATGCTTTAGTCTGACTAAAAAATGCTTCTTTGACTTTTTTGAGCAGTCTAGATTTGCTGTTGTGCTTGGGTTTGTTGTCCTGTTGCAGAACTAATTTCAGTCAAGCTTTAGCAATCAGAGGAGTTTATTGTGAACACAATGAGTGCAAGGTGCCCTCTGCCACTGTGTTTATACCGATACGCCGTGCTTGGTTTTTGCCAAACAGTGCTGTGCAACATGACCAAAACATCTCAACTTTGCTCTTGTTTATCTAAAGGACACTGTTCCAGAAGTCTTGTTTTCTCAGGTGCAACTTTTTAGAGAGAAAAGACTTTCTCGTGAGAACCCTTTCAAGTAAGCCATACTTGTTCAGTCTTTTTCTAACTCTGCTGCCATAAACTTTAATATTTAACATGCTTGCTAAGCCGGTAGAGTCTGAGATGTAGTTGTTGAGTGAATTTGAGTGAGCATTGGCTTGAATATAGTTTAACTAAATGCCAACTACAGAAGTTGACCCAAACTGCTTTAGAGACAGCTAGGCACATTTATATCCAAGGTCTCCAAAAAAACTAGTTTCAAAATACATAAAAAATTGAAAGGTTGATTTTGTAATGTAAATATTACAGTGGTTTAGTGATCATTAAAATGTGTTCAGTATTTGTAAGTTAATGATGACTCATCTCATAAATCATGAAAGTGTTGGTATCGACAATACTAGACCTGTATTTACTTGGTATCAAATTTGCTGAATGGCACAGAACAAAAATAAACAAAAAAGAAAGTTCCTAAATAAGGCTATGAGATATGGGTGGATTTTTGTTTAGAGGTCTTCGAGATTTTCAGGGGGGGGAAATTCCAAAAATATTTTTAATTTTTAGTAAATGTATATGCATTTAAAATGGCAAAGAAAAACAAGAAGAAGACAAAATGCAAATAAGCTGGAAAATATTCAGAAAATTAAAGAAAAAATATTGGCTGAAAATGGCGTTATGTCAGCAGCTATTGGACAGCTAGCTAAAAGAGGAATGGCCGCCATAACGGACCGAAGCTAACGTTAGCTAAACGGTTTATTGATGCTCCTTCACTGAACTGCATGTGTCTGGAGATGGAGGCCTTCAGAGTTGATCCAGAGATGGGAAATGTTAGTGAAACAGAGCAGGCTGTGGTCCCCCGGGCGAGCAGGGACCACGCTGTGACCGGTGACCTCAGAGTGCTACACAACCTGCGGGCCTTTGAGGAGACCAGCCGGGTGACCTCCCCCTTTGACGGGGTGCAGACAGAAATCCAGCCGTACATGAGAAGGATACTAGCTGTGTGGATGTTTCAGGTATACACTCATCAGTCACAGTGTAATTTTCCACCTAGTTCAGGTGAAATAAACCAGATTACTGTCTGACAGGTGTGTGAGGAGCAGAAATGCGAGGAGGAGGTGTTTCCGCAGGCGATGCGTTACCTGGACTGTTACCTGAGCCGTTTTGCAGTTGAGAAGACCAACCTGCAGCTGTTAGGGGCAGTTTGCATGTTCCTGGCCTCCAAAATGAGAGAAACGACCCCCCTGACTGCCAGCAAGCTTTGTGTCTACACAGAAAACTCCATTTCAGTCTCAGACATTCTGGTAAAGGCATTAACTATTATAAAGGAGCTAATATCCTTGATGTTTATCTCCCCTCAAACACCACAGAAAAACTACCACCACTGACCAAGTCTGGGTTAAAAATAAATAAATAAAAGTAATAATCAAATGCACAATTAAGTTTGGTGCATAAGTCTGAGGGGTCCCACATAATAAGTGAATAAATGAATCCGCTTTTCCCACTAAAATAAAATGTATTTATTTGACATCCTTGATGCTTTTTATCCTTCTCTTAAAGCACTTTTTTAAACCTATTTAGGCTTCTAATAAAAGAAATTGTGAAAGGATTATACTTATTTTATTTAACAGATCATTACTGGTACATCCCAAGTATACACAGGTCCTGGGTTTAAATCCAGCCTCCCGATTTAAACCCAGGACCTTCTTGAAGTGAGGCGGTGTTGCAAACCACCCCACTGTGACCCCTCTTTCTGTTGCATTTATTGCAAATATTCAAAGCGACCTCATGACTTAACTGAGCCTCCAGTTTGTCTCTTATAAAAGTGGAATCTGTAATACTTGTTTTCCATGGATCTCACGACAATCCCCAAAATCAACACTGTTGCTTCTTAATCTGTGGATAGTTTTCCTGTTTTGGCCGCATCCAGAAAGGCCAGCTACATTCCCATGAACCTCAAATGTCCTAGTGGTCAAATGAAAATCAGACGGCGTAATGACAGTCTTGTAGCTTTCCTTTTGTCATGAATTTCATGAGAGGACATTTCTAAACTTGACAGAAATGCATACTTTGACCAAAGCAGTGCTTCTCAAACTGGTTTAGGCCTCAATGATATGACATTGGGCAACTGCAGATGGATCATGGACACACCTTTCAATACTTTTATTCCATCTGAAAAGGAACAACAGTTGTAATATTCATTGAATACTAAGTAGAGACACTTATTGGTACGATTTCTAAGGGCACAATTTTATCAAGGACATTTTAGAAGGTCTTTGTAGGTAGGAAGCCGGAAATGTTCCCTTTTCATAATCATTTTTTTGACCAAAGGCTTGCAGGCATGCACACTGTTCAGGACACGGGGGTTTGACTGAGGGGTTAGGGTGACCAGCACTCATTGGCTGATCTGAATGAGCGTTCCTGCTGTGGGATTTTGATGGTGGACTGGTTTTAAGGAATGTGTGTGTGTGTGTGTTGCAGCACTGGGAGCTGGCAGTGGTGTCAAGGTTAGAGTGGTGTCTGGCCTCCGTGGTCCCCTCTGACTTCCTGGAGCCAATTCTTCACGCTCTCCCCTTTGTCCGACCTCCCCACCTTCAGAACATGCGCAGGCATGTTCACACCTACATCGCTCTGGCTGCCATGGGTACGTTGCATAATTGCGTTACCTAAACATGAAATGGTATCCCCAAATGAAAGACAATATCAGTCAATTTAGTGTTCAATTTAAGGCAGACAACTAATGGAAAATACATTTTAACAAAAAAAATCTTGTAATGTAATGAAATCATCTCATTTACACCCCCCTGTAAAACAATCGGTGATAAGACTTTTTACTTCATGATCATCAAGGGACTATTTAAGCCGTGAACAATGGGCACCAAACAGCCCCAACCATGATTACGATGTGTCAGCAGTTCATTTTGGATAGTGAGAGCAGAGTTTGCGTAACCCTGCATTGTCTGCTATGAAAGACCTGCATCCAGCTATTCAGCTGGCCGATTTCCCACCTATCTCTATCTGCAATACTGCCCGAGGCTGCAGGTCACAGGGATACAGTTTGTTGCTGCTCTTTCAGGCAGCTTTTACACATTTTCAGCCCCATAAAAATAAGACATTTTAACCCACTAAGGGTGTAAAGCAAGAACTGAATGGCTGAGTTTTTGTCTCACCATTTCTCCTGCTTCAAGCAATTAGGATATCATATTATCCTGTTCTGGGAAGTGTCTGTTTTAAGCTTTTAGGTTCATCTGTCAGGGTGTGTCAACAGTGGTGGTGACCATCTGTCTACCATCTATTTTCTTTCTCAAAATTGTATGGACAAAGTGCTCATTATTAATAGAAGACACGAAAGTAATAAAATGTTTTTAATTATCAGAA